AGATATGATAACTTAATTTGCAGGGGAGCCGCTGCAAAACTCTAGGTTCTTGGTGTTCCACGACATGGGGCTGTCGGCGTACGAGCCTGACACGTGCCGCCTCCTCCACGTCGTGCAGGGCACTGACGTCATCCCTGGCACGCAGGAGTACGTTTGTGGCGATAAAGGTGAGCATCGCACGCGCCTGACGCGGAAAAAACGTAGAAAACGAGGTTTTTGTAGTAAAAAAATTTATGTTAAAATGAAAAAAAACTGAAAATCGTAGTATTAGAAGTTTTTAAAAAAATTTTTACTTGAAAACAAGATAAAATTTGTGTTATTGGAATAATTGTAACGAATAGAAAGACGTAGAAATCATGAGGTTGGAAAATTGTCTAAAAAAAATGAGGTTGAAAAAAAAAACTGGCTGAGTATGCCCAAAGATTCAATGTAGCGGCCTTGATTATATGACTTAAAATATACAATACAAGCATGCTAAGGTTTACCGTCCAATAAATTTTTGATAAATCTCTAAATTTATGTTATAAATAAAAAAAAACAGATGTGATTGATATATTCAGGGAGATTAATATTGTTTTCGTCACTCACTTTAATATAACATTATGTTAAATACAATAATTGAAATGTAGGCATATTACATGCATCATTAGCCTGCTGAAAGCGCAAGTTTCGAAAATTTGAAAGCAAAGAACAAATCAAATGAATTGACAATATCATAATCGCAAAAGTTTCTAAACTTTTCGTTGAAGATATAGATAGTGAATTTGCCTGGCATTTTATTCTTTTTTATAATCTTGGTGAACAATATTATATGTCTATATACTCATCTATAGCAAGGTAATAGGTACTATGCTATGCTGGATTGTATTTGTATTCTTAATATCGGATATAATCTGCATTTAAGGCTACCAGTTTTATCTCAAGTTAGCTGTGGACTATACCTCTAATATCTAAATAGGTTTAATAATTTATATTAATAAATTGCTATATATAAATTATATAAACGTGATTAAGTTGATATTCACAATGCATTTTATCACCACATATTTAATCGCCATGATCCTAATTACCATTCCTCTAATCACCCCGGGCCATAATAAACCCCTTAATCATCCCACACCATGCCATCCCATTATCATTTCGACCCTGATAACCTCACCCTTACTCTCACCGCCAATAATCACCCCTTCCCTAATCACCCCGCCCATAACCAGCTCACCACTAATCACAATAATTATTCTAATCGCCTCGCCCCTAATCACCTCACTTCCCATCACCCCACCACTAATCATCCCACTCTGTGTCCTGCAGAGTGAGTAGTGTGTCCTGCAGAGTGAGTAGTGTGTCCTGCAGAGTGAGCCACGTGTCCTCGAGTGGCGAAGGATTCAACTCTCCGAATAAATTTTTAACTTAATAACAATTCAGCATCAATATTCTTTATCAGCAGTGTTATTTAAATAAGTATATTATTTTAAATACTACTGTTAGCGTTGTTTTTCATGTATTCCTGAAATATTATTGACCAATATTTATTGAAAATATTTTATTAATTATAATAAGATATGATAACTTAATTTGCAGGGGAGCCGCTGCAAAACTCTAGGTTCTTGGTGTTCCACGACATGGGGCTGTCGGCGTACGAGCCTGACACGTGCCGCCTCCTCCACGTCGTGCAGGGCACTGACGTCATCCCCGGCACGCAGGAGTACGTTTGCGGCGATAAAGGTGAGCATCGCACGCGCTTGACGCGAAAAAAAACGTAGAAAACGAGGTATTTGAAAAAATTTATGTAAAAGTGAAAAAAATCTAAAAATCGTTGTATTAGAAGTTTTGAAAAAAAATTTACGTGAAAAAAGATAAAATTTGCGTTATTGGAACAATTGTACCGAATAGAAAAACGTAAAAATCGTGAGGTTGAAAAATTGTTGAAAAAATGAGGTTGAAAAAACAGCTGGCTGAGTAGGCCCAAAGATTCAATGTAAAGGCTTCGATTATATGACTTAAAATATACAAGACAATCATGCTAATCTTTACCGTCCAATAAATTTTTGATAAATCTCTAAATTTATGTTATACATAAATAAATACTGATGTGAATGTTATATTCAGGGGGATTAATATTGTTTTCATCACTCACTTTAATATTACATTATGGTAATTACAATAAATAAAGTGTAGGAATATTACATGTATCATTAGCCGGCTAAAATCACAAGTTTATCGAGAATTTGACAGCAAGGAACACGACAAATAAATTGACCATATCTTAATTCCTGAAACCAGCGCCAGTTCAGAATTGTAAGGATGGTTTCTTTTTCGAACGTTTTCATTGAAGATATACAATTGAATCAGGCTGGCGTTCTGTTCACTTTTAAAATCTTGAACAATATGGCAGGCCTAAATACTGATCTATACCAAGGGAATACTATACTATGCTGGATTGTATTTCTATTCTTAATATCGGATATAATCTGCATTTAAGGCTACATTTCTACCTCATTCATCACACACCCATTAATATACCCCCCTATTCATCCCACCCCATACCATCCCACTCCTAATCATTTCGACCCTGATCACATCACCGCCCATAATCACCCCCTCCCTAATCTAATCTCCTCGTAGAGACGATTAGATTATAGGGTATTAAACCCTCTAATCACCCCGCCCCTAATCNAACATTATGCAAGCTGTATAACATCATGCAAGCTGTATAACATAATAATTTGTGGTCTAATAACCCCCAATAATTACAGAACATGATGATCTATCTTAAAATGGAATATTGCCTACGTTGACAGTCCGGCAAATTGCTTATTTATGATACAATCCGATTTATGAGCATGACTTTTGTCTAAATAGAGATGCAATTTTTGTTCGCTCATGGGTCACCCTGACCTAGTTTAACAGCGCAAAAGTCCGTATCAGTGCATACGTGAATTAAGAGTCCCTTTTTACAACACTCCTCTTTAACTTCACTTCTTGTTGTTTGTTTGTTTGTTTGTTTGTTTGTCTGCTACAAATCTTGTAATCGAAATTTAACACACTTCTACTTATCCTATCGATCTGAAATTTTGCACATTTGTTTCAAGTTGGAGACAATACATGAATCAAATGTCAAAATAAATGATTTTAAAAATAAAAAATTTTTTTTCCAATATTAAAAAAATTGAAAAAATAATTTTGTCAGCTACAAATCTTATATCTGATATTTGACACACTTTTACCTGTCTAATTGATCTGAAATTTTGCACACTTGTGTGAAGTCAGANCAGATCCTCGAACTATCGAAAGCAGTCTATGCAAAAGCAGTCAATACAAACGTACATCTCGTTACATTCAAAATAATTAATTGTAGATTTTTTAATTTGTTTATCATTACTTTTCATTTTGATATTGTACAAATAACGTTCAATGTAATGAGGAGGTTTAAAGTAATGTAATCCCATAATGATTGTTTTCATCATAATAGATGACTGATCACCTCGGATCATCCGTCTTGAAGTTTCGATTTTTTCTCAACTTCTATTTTCTGCTGTTAAGACCCGCATTCTCATTTTTTTTCAATAAGATTTACGTACTTCTAATTATTTAAGATAAGAGAACAACTCACGGAAATAAATTCATCACCAATGCATTATTCGTTTATATGCAAGCTTTACTTAATCCACCGTAATGCAATATTGTTAGCAGCAAACGTGGGATTATTCTTTCGTGTTTATCGAACAATTTATTAGACGAATATGCAAAATTTTATCAACAGATCAAAGGTAAAATATTTCCTGTAATGAAAATGTACCTACACATTAATATCATAATAATATTTTCTCATGCACAATTTTTTCTGTGAAAATAGCACCGCAACTATCATGAATTATATCGAAGAAAGTATAATATAGTTGATTCGAAAGAGATACTCATTTCCGACTATGTATAAACTGAATTCTGGTTTCTGAAAGATACAAAATTTTAAATTTTTCGCATAATCTACAAATAAATTGCACTCTGAATATAAAATGTTGGATTCTAATTCTAGACTTGTTTTGAAATAATTCATCCGAGTTAGGTCATCTGAGCTTAAAAATGAATCTCATCGCAACATGAAAACAACTCTACAATCGCTATTGCTTTATCCTCGTGTTTCATTATGCGTATTCCTGCATATTAAGATGACTGCAGCGAGTAGTTTCATGTTGTCGCTGTAATATGAGCAGCAGCAGCAGCAGCAGCAGCAGCAGCAGTTTGCATTACAAGGTTCGGCGTCAACGCTTGTATATTAATTAAGAGTTTTCAGCGCTCTTGAGCTGTGAAGTTCAGGCAAAGGCTGGCGCATCTGTTAGCCACCACTGAACTAACGTCCTCTCTGTTCTCACACGACTTAATTTCATTCATAATTTATAAGTAATCATATACAGTACAGGTTTGTGAGCTGTATTTAGATGTTCATATAAGGAGAGAATGTACGTATAGGTTAGAGAGCTGTATTTAGGCTGTCGTTTATATAGGAATAGTACGCCAATAGAGAATGTCTAGTAGTAAAACAGGCTAGTAGGCTGTATTTAGATGCGACTCGAATTATTATACCATCGTTGATTGTTTTGATGTTAGTGAACAAGTGCAGTCTTCGATATGGAAAGGAAATCAGTAGCGCCCATTTCCCGAATATAATAAATATATTTCCCGGAAGCTTAGCCCGAATATAGTCCTAGGCTATTTTTTTGACTTTACCTCAATGTGATATTCATATCGTTTCCTGAACATGTAGAGATGAGGTTAGCTTATATTTCTTCAGATTTTCTTTAACAAAAAAAAATTAAATGCTAACAATTGGGCAGCAATAAGGCAACACATGAGCCCAACAAGGGATCATAATTTCTGCATCATCCTAAATATCCACGTTCCGTTTAGATGCAATGTGCCTTTTTCTTAATAAACTTTAATAAAAAAGTTTTAGGCTAGGCCGCTTTAGGCTTTTTTGTAATGCTCTTCATACCCAGCCTCCTGTAACCTTCTTAGCCTCTTGCCCTAGCCTCAGCACGCCATTAGCCTCGTAATTTAGTCTCCACTGAGCCGTGTTCTGTCCAGCCATCGCTTAGAGGAAGCAAGCGCTAAGCGGCCATCACGGCAGCTGCTTCCATAATATTCTCGCTACCTTATCTTAATAAAGAAGATAACGCGGCGCTTAATTAGGAAGATAATAATCTTGCTTCCTTATCTTAATAAAGAAGGTGAAGCTTAATTAAGAAGATAATAATCTAGCTTCCTTGTCTTAATAAAGAAGATAACGTGGCGCTTAATCAAGAACATAATATTCTCGCTTCCTTATCTTAATAAAGAAGATGATGCGACGCTTAATTAAGAACATAATATTCTCGCTTCCTTATCTTAATAAAGAAGATGATGCGACGCTTAATTAACAAGATAATATTCTCGCTTCCTTATCTTAATAAAGAAGATAACGTGGCGCTTAATCAAGAACATAATATTCTCGCTCCCTTATCATAAAAAAGAATGTGAAGCTCAATTTAGAAAATAATATTTGCGCTCCTCTTTCTTAATTTTGGAGATTACGCTGCGCTTCATTAAGAAAATAATATTCTCACTTCATTATCTTAATAAAGAAGATGGCGTGGCTCTTTTATATGAAGATAATATTCACACTACCTTATTTTAATACAAAAATTAACGTGGTTATTACCTATGAAGATAATATTCTCGTTTCCTTATCTTAATTTATAAGATGGCGTCGCTTTTATACATGAAAATAATATTCACACTACCTTATGTTAATACAAAAATTAACCTGGTTATTACCTATGAAGATAATATTGTCGTTTCCTTATCTTAGTTTATAAGATAACACTGCACTTATCCTTGCCTGCTTGTCACCTGAAGCGTTTGCTCGCATGTGCTGCTAAATTAAGTCCAGGAAATTAGTGCGACTTTGTCCAAATAACAATACACATTTTGCACTTGAGTGGGTCATCCTGACATAGCTTTTTCGGTAAACAGGCGTGTCAGTGTTGTGCTTAGTCTTTGCTTATGTTGTGAGTACGACCCATATAACAACATACGAATATATACGTATGTGTATATATATAAGTACGACCCATATAACAACATATAACAACGAAGTGGGGAATACGACCCATTCATGTTTCTGATAGTAGCTTTAGGCTCCACTATACATGGTTTGAGATACTAACTGGGATAACCTATAAAACCTGGTGGTACGATATTTCACTGGAATTTTTAATGCTATTAATTTTTTATACAACGCAATATTTGCTGGGGTCATGTGGCTCTGAATGAGAATATTTATTAAAATATATTCTTACTTCATCTATTCAATCGTTGCAGGTTTCCATCACACTCAATAATTAACTTACGATGTTGTTTTATTTCATTGTACATTTATTTGAATTAGTCACATAATTATCCGGGATATGAAAAACTATACTATAATATTGTTAATTATTTAAATAGAGCTATAGCTTAATTACATTGTACTAATCAGTATGGTATAAAGGATTATTCTACACTAAGATAAGGGAGCTATAGATCTTAACTCTATATTGATACGGATAACCTTAAGAATGCATCTAAATACTGACACAGTTGTATTTTACAGATCTAAACTCTGTACTGATATGGATAACCTCAAGGATGCATCTGAATAATGACACTGCACTTGCTGTATATAAAATAATCCAGCACCTTTGGTACTCATGCAGGTGATAGTAACCGACCAGTACCCCGTGGACCTGTGGTACGTCGCCAGCCTGGACCAAGTCTGGGTACTGAACTGGCGCTGAGGGCATCAAGACCATACAGGCGGGTGAGGGCATCAAGACTATACAGGTGAGTGAGGGCATCAAGACTATACAGGTGAGTGAGGGCATCAAGACTATACAGGTGAGTGAGGGTAAAACATATTCATGATTTAGCGCGTAAAATTTCATAGAGGTGAATTATTGATTAAAAGTGAATCATTGAAGAGAAAAAATTGGTATCGAACGTTTAGACTTTTAAGGAAGAATCTCCGCCTGTTTAACCCATTGAAGAATGTTTCCAATCATTCATAAATTCGAATTGAGGAACGGACAGCTTATTCGTGCAGCCTATTCATAGAAAATTATTTCACTCTCTTTTCATATTGATTGATGTACAGAGAAAAATGGTTATTATGTCGCATAAAAGGTACATTATATACCTAGAGGCGAAACGATGGTGGTGCAATGATATGATACAAAAGAACAATTGTTCAACTTCAAAGAAGAATGAGAGAACAATTGTTTAAATCCAGAAAAGAATTAGAGAAAAATTGTCCCAAATGAGAGAACAATAATTGTTCAACTCCAGAGAAGAATCATCACTAAATTGGAGAAACACCGTCGTGTCTGTTCAGTACGACAACGCCCTCATCTTTCATCAGAATATAACGGCATATAATTTTATTTGCATATAATTTTATTATTGTAAATATTGGGCAGTTAATTTTAATTTACAATGAAATATTTGTTTGCAGAAAAGTAAAATCAATTATATATTTATAAATTATCAAATATGCAAAATTATACAATCAAATATCATTATTAATATTTATTTTCTTTGCACAAGCAAAAATATGGCTCTCAGGAATTCTGCATACGGAAAATATTAATGTTTTTTAATTTCTTATAAGCTCACTATTTCATTCTAGACCAGGATTACTCATCCTCTTGAATGGATTAGGGTCGACCAAAGAGGCTCTATAATACTCTCCGTTTTGCTTGAGAAATCTAATGAAATTATTTCCATAATTTAAATCTTGACTTTAATTAATTTCACTACCTCTTCTATATATTTCAAGGCAGAAAATTGTATGACATCTTACCCACTGATAGATATAGCATATCGGAATAATAATAACAGTAACATTATTAAATATCACACTAATAGTAATAAAAATTACGATCAGATAATTACAATGGCAATAATGATAATAGTAAATAAATAATAAATTTTATATAGGCTGGAATATTGATTAATAACTAAATTTCTCATGAATAAGCCCTATTGGGAGGTATTTGAAAGTATTGGTACCTCTCCACGCAGGTCATCAGGTACGCGTCGCAGAAAAAGAAGCACCACACGGTGCACCCCGAGCCCATCGACGGCCATTTCGACCTGGTCAAGAACTTGTTCATCCCTCCCACTCAGGTGAGCTAGGTTTTCAATCAGGGCTAGATTTGATACAACAAGGTGTTTCAACTAAAGCTAGGTTTGATACACCAGGGTGTTTCAATCAGGGCTAGATTTGATACAACAGGGTGTTTCAACTAGGGCAAGGTTTAATGCACCAGGGGGTTTACACTAGGGCTACGTTTGATACACCATGGTGTTTCAATAGGGCAAGGTTCGATAGGCAAGAAGAAAGGTTTGAACAGGGCAAGATTCGACCAGGGTTTGGTTTTCAATCAAACTAGGTCATGATTAACCACTACCAATGCCACTCATACCAATGATACCATTTTCTGTGAAAAAATTTTTTAAGACAACACAAGGACAAAAATGCGTTCGAAAAAGTATCACTAAAATCTCTGTGTTAGGTCTTCATTCGATATTTAAAAAATTGCATAAATAACAATGGGAGATTTAGCCCAATCCTCTGCAGAGTTACCAAACTATAAAAAATTCCGAATAGGTATCTATTACTTATATTCCGATTCTTCGTATCTGATATCTTTAGGATGTGATATGTATTGTTTGCTCCTGTCATTACATAATACATTTGCTTTGTCAAAAGATGTTTTTTCTTGTCATTATTTAAAAATTTATACTCATGTCATAGTTGTACAATTTTGGAGCTCCTTTCCTATTTTAAATTGTTTACTATTTTTTAATGGTAGGTATGTTTGTTCATTCCATAGTATAAAAACATGTGCTCCCTATAACCCCCCAGGACCTGGGCCACGACTTCCGCTACGCGTACGTGACACACACCAACCAGCGCGGCCTGTACAAACTCGACTTGGCCAACATGAAGTACGTCAAGACCGTAGACCTGACGCCCTACAACTGCGTGCCGCAGGGACTCGTCTATTCTTCCCTACGTGAGTTGTTAATTAATAAGAATTAATAAGAATTAATTAATGCTCTGGTACTAGACTACCTCACGGACGCGGTGGTAGGAGTCAAGTCGTCGCTGGTAGGGCAGCCCTATGTCACCCCGGACTCACAACTCGTCGTGACGGTTGATACCAAGTCTCGTGTCAAGATCGTCGTGCAGAGAGTTACTGGTGAGAACTTGTCTGATGTTTACGGTCTTTCTCTTAGATTTATTATTTTTTACACAAGAATTTAGTAAGTAATATGAGTAAAGAACTTAAAATGGACAAAATAGTGAAGTATGTAAGTAGTATAAAAGTAAGTAATGGAAGTGGTAAGTAATAGTAAGTAATAGAAGTAAAGAACTTATAGTGGTCAAAATAGTGAAGTGTGACTTGAAAGTAAAGCATCCACTTTAAAGCATTTTTCTCCTTGAAGTAATTTTCCACTTAAGAGTAATTTATCAATGGAAAGTAAATTTTTCGCTTGAAATAATTTGATTTTCCATGTTCCCTCTGACATGTTTATTATTTCAGTTTTCGAATCGTCAATTTATAGTCGTCTGATATATCTTATACTATCTCTTTTTAAACTTCGAACTCAGTGAAAGAATTGCTTGCCGGTGCGACTCGATCTCACGGCCAGTATTTGAACAATATCCGCTTTCCAATGAGATTTTACCAGATTGATGTTCTTGTTTTGCAAGTAAACAGCTAAATAGTTTTATGGTCTGTGAATGCTAATATTAACTTGCTTTTTCTACATGTCAAAGACTAAATATAATGTTAACCTGTGTGTGTTACGTTTAAACTACATTTTCTACGAGTCAAAATTAAATAAATTGATTGCTGAATCAATAAACTTACTTTTTCTGTCTGCCAAATTCCAGATAATTAAGCACCTGTACGTAAATAAAATACTGAACAATTGTAATAATGAATTAAACATTTTGATGACAGAGCACGGGCTGGATTACCTCTACGACGTGAGCACGACACTGAACGTGTCTGACATCACCTTCTTCCCGTCCCGCGTCAGCCACAGCTACGACCTCTTCGCTGCCAGCACCGACAAGGATGATATCCTCTCCCTGGACCTTCAAACTGGTACCAATCATACCATACTAGTGATACAATACCAATCATACCATACCAATAATACGATATCAATGATACAATACCATGATGCCATATCGATGAAGCGATAACAATGATGCCATGCCAATGATACCATAGCTAATACAATACCAGTGATACAATAACAGTAAAACCCATGTTGATCAGTATGGTAACAATAAATTTATTCCTGCTGAACTTGCATGGAGATTATTAATGATCACTAATTTGTTGCTTTAATAAAATGTACGATATGAGTTGAATTTCAACTTTCAGAGAAATCAATCAAACTTTCTCCTGATTGAGACGTACTATTTGCGTTCATACGGGTCAACCTGACCAAGTGTGGGTAGGGTATACATATGATCTCTGCCCGTACGGAGGTATGGATGTATGTCACTAATTGGAAAACGACACATTAATTTTTCAAAATGATATCTTCTAATCCTCTCAGGCAAGGTTGAACTCATCACCGGCGTCGGTCACCCCATGCCCGGTAACCTCGCTGAGTGGGGTAATACAAACCGCCCCATTACCTCGTCAGGGGTGTTCGGCCACTACATGGTCTCCCCGTCAGATGGGGCAGTTTTCGTCCTCAATGGGGATGCACGAACCGTCAACTGCGAAATCGGTTCGCTGGTTCATCCACGTTTTTCGCTCTGGATGACGCGGCCTCAAGGCTAGAAGGGTAAATCTTACCCATCCAGAAAGAAATAGCTTCGTATCAGAGTGGAAAACTCCTTCCTTCCATCTCGAGATAAATATTTCAATGCCGTTTAATGGATAATATACTTTTTTTCTGAAATATTTCCCGGAGTCAGGAAGTTTACTATTCTGAACCTGGATTCTCCCGGAACCTTGCAGTTTACTATTATAGTTTACTTATATTTTGAACAAACTTCCGGAACACAAGTGTACTTTGTGTAAATCAGTCAAGTGAACAGCACTCGCAAGACTGCCTCTTTAGATCCAGCCTGAGCGATTTAATGTTGAAACTAAACCGATCTACAAAATTAAATGTTGAAAAAGTGGACAATGCAATTATATATTTTTTCCTAGAAAATTCAAAGTATAAATGATCATTCGATGTTATTTATATATCAATTTGAATCATAATTGGTTTACAGGAACATAGATATCCGCCATCGCAATATCGAGATATCCATTGCGATTGGTGAAATTCCTGGTTAGTTTATGAGCGATGCTACTGATATAATTTACCGTTGTGCTTAAAATTATTTTCTAATAAAATGTCATAATCTGAGTGCCTGCAGGTCCTATCTTTTCCTGGAGGAAACTCAATTATCATTATTAAATGAGGCGCAGGTGCTAATATAATTTAATGTCCAGTCATTTATTCCCGAAGTTAATTAATCATTCACCCATAATTGTTTTTCACTGCTAAACCTTTAACCTACTCTAGCCTTTCAACCTAACCCATAATTGTTTTAACTTAAGCCCCCAAACCTAAACCTCTACCCTAACCTATCCTTATAACCGAAACCTCCAAACCTTAACCTTTAGCCTATTTGGCTTGCACTATAGTTCAGGTGTCATTGCTAACATGAACTGCATGAAAAAAAAAATAAGTTTGCAGGATATTATTTTTTACATAAATTATTTCATTTATTTCTTTTTGATTAACTCAATTTGCAACTAATTTGCGCAGGTAAGAAGAATTAATATTAATTTCTTTCAATTTACAACTAATTTGGGCAGATAATAAGAATTAAAATGAATTTCTACCATCCATTGATACCGGAAATGAGGCATTGAACACAATGTCGTGAGCCTCTCGTATCACCATAGTGCGTATAGAATACACATTATTTACTAGAAAGAATCACGTAACGTATTGGGTTATTATAGACTTATAAATAATCATATTATGTTTATATGTTATTATTGAGTTGTTATAGACAATAACAACCATCACATGTTTAGATAATATTTTTAGTTATTTTAGACAAATAACCATATTATGTTTATATGTTGTTATTGAGTTGGTCTAAACATAAACAACCATCACATGTTTAGATAATATTTTTAGTTATTTTAGACAAATAATCATCATATGTTTATATGTTATTTTTGAGTTATTATTACGCATAATTAACCATCAACTTTACTGGTGCTAGTGCAATTTTTAAGGAGCTGAAAATTCCTTCTCTCTAATTCTGTAATCAAATAATAATTCATTTTACTATATCGGAATTATTGATGAACTCATGTGCATTTTATATAACAAATTTGCCTTAATGCTGATCGAGTTAAAATTTCAATAACTGTTCAAAATGATTAAAATTTCTTAATATTATGCTTTATATAAGTTCAACGCATTCACACATAAAAGAATTCGAAAGCATTTTTTTTTTGAAACTTGATTTTGCAGCTGCCGAATAAATATATAACCTTCAAACCTACACTCGTAATCAATATGATTTCTGCATGGAATATCATATAAATACCATAAATGTCATATTTATTCTATAAACATATTTAATGCTGGCAGCACTGAAGTCACTTTCACGGCATATTATTTCGAAATATTCATATAATTGAAAAAGCTTTCCATAAGGACTCCATGACGCATGATATGACATTTTATCTGTCATAAACGCAGTTCACGCAGCAATGAGAAGCCTTCTCATTTTTTTTTTAAATAAGAGGCAAAGTACCCTGACTTATTAGCTCTCCACTAATCACCGATGATCATGTACATATACATCTGAATCTTTCGGGATTCTTCCTCAATTTTACGTGGACTATACAAACAGAAATGGACTATACAGACAGAGATAGACTATACAGACAGAGATGGACTATACAACTACTGTTAGTGCGCTGATACAGGCATGTGGTGCGATTTATACTGGTCCGTGTAATATAGCCAAGATTAATAATTCATGATAATATTTCTGTGCCCTTCTCAGTTTCATAATATTGTTAGCGCGACTTGTACATAGCGGCTTTACGTTTAGGCTTCGCTTCGTTCTCAGCTGATCAAGGCAATTTTACGAATTTTTTTCGTGATTGATGTTTAAAATACATAACAATACACAAAATACATAAACGACCCATTATTCAATTTTTTTCAATTTATTTAAACCCGAGAGAAGGGTCTATAAATTGCATTTACCTTTACAGTAACAAACTGTATTAAAATCTTCACAAAATTTTGAATGTTAAAAATTCATTCTTCAAAATGTTAAAGCGAGTGATTTTTCACGCTATCGTTTCATCATATTCTGCGTTCATCATATATGGCACTTCACCATGTTCAGCGTTCACCATATATGGCACTTAACCATATTGAAAGATGGTGCAACAGTTCAGACGATGGGGCAACTGATACAACTGGGATAAATTCTTATTACGCGTAGCTATTGAAACAACAATTTACTTCTATATAATAAGAGGCAATTTGCTTGCGTGTTAAGACGTATAAAGTTAGTTGCTGTAATAGCTCGACGTAACTTTTAAGAACTTTAGTTGTAAGATCATTAAGAACCTAGCGGCTGATGTACTTAAACTTCTCTAACTTTGGTTCTTATTAAGGCTTAACTATTAAGGGTGGATGTAATTTGTATATAAATATTCATTCAATTTAATTATTCATAAGAACTGCTTCAAATTCAGAAATAAATTGACCTCGGTTACTTCCGGTAGAATGGAACATTCTAAGAATCTTCTATTATTCAATGAAAAATTAATAATTTCAACGTAAACTCTTTTTGTTTTAGAATTTTCAAGCTTAGAATTTATTAATTTATAGAAGTAAACTTTCAAATATTGATCAAAAATTGTAAAGATGAAATCTTTGAGTGAGATTCAGCAAGAAATTAATTCGGATACAATTATTGTGTTAATTTTTGTGATTGGTTTGAAGATCTAATAATTCAATGAGATATAACTAAATAAATTTAAATTTCCCCGTTATATTAATAGTTAATATTATTAATTGCTACTGATCGTACAAGCGGTACTTTCCAACAAGCAAAAATATTAAAATAAATCAACAAAGCGGGGGAAAATTCATCATCTGACTATTATTGTATCAACATAATATATGTAATTTTTCAGTGGGTTTTCTTATTCTGTTCAGGAATCGAAGATTACAGAACAAGCGAACAGCTTTCCTCGATCGAATCTAAAAGTTTTTGTTTGGAAGTTTATCGCGCATTTGTTAAATTGTATATAATTAATCTAAAACCAATCTTCTTCAGGCAGTGTAATCGAAATTGAAAGTTTCTATCCGTTTTTTTCATTAAAGAAGTAAAATTTTTGTAGAAAATGTAAAAATAGGCAAGCACTTCTACTACTCAAGCTCACTGAACTTAATTGAAAAAAACAGACACGTGCTCTTCAACTCAGCACTACACAACAGCACTGAGTTATTTATGAACAATTTAGCTGAATTTCATTCAACTCTTTGACGTAATTAAACTCTGACGCTGAATTTAAAGCAACGGCTTCTATCTATAGGTGCAAAATAAAATATCCTCCTTTAAACATTTGTACAATTTTAATATACATAACTTTCAACCAAAATTGCATTCATGTTTATTTTTAATGTATTTTTCAGTTGGAAAATTCACGAGTTTTCTCGAAGTAAGCAAACCAATTTTATTCATTCTACAAGATTGACCATCTCTGCCCACTCAGAATATTGGGTCTATTAATTAATTTGGACACACTCAGTAAGTGTGTCCAAATATTGGCACACTTTCTGCACGTACGCCCTATTCTCAGTCAAAACTGGGTCAAGATGACCCACTCAAGGACAAGAATTAAGTGCAACGTTATATCTGGACAAAGCCTCTCAATTTTTCTGGGTGTGGTCTCTATTTCGCTTCCCTCATAGTGTTACGTGGCCAGCGTATGTGGATCTTATAACCTTTGTGATATGTACGGAGGAATTTTAATAAAACATTCAAACTGAAAAATCTTTTACATTCCTGTTGAATTATTTAACTTCTGTTATTTTAGAAATAATGGAATTGTTGCAGTTATATTTCTTTGAATTGCTCTAAAAGTTTGTGATGTTCTAATTGTTTTAAATGGTAAATGTTATTAACATTTTGCAAATATTTGATGTTGAGATTAAATTGTTAAAGTTTGCAGGTCTGGTCCATTATAACTTATTCATTTCAGAGTCACTTTGGCAAAACCTTATTTCAACATCAATTTACGAAAACTAAGAAAAGATTCAATTTACGAAAGCTAGAGTGATCGCCGCCTTACGAAACCATGAAGTCAGATTACTTTACAAAACTTTAAGCTAACCCCACTTTACAAAAAACATAAAATCAATTAAATTTTGGCAAGACCTTAAATTAGCATCACTTACCAATTTGTAAAGCCAGTGTTACCATCTCTTAAATTTCATTCATTGCTAGAGGCAAAACTTAAATAGATTTATATGATTAACAGTGAGCTAACGTGAATCTCGTGAATGACTTTAAAAAACTTAAAACTAGTTTCTTTTCGTCACTTTTTACGCACTGCCATTCCATGAAGTCTTAAGTTTATGTACTTTCATAAATTGTGGATAAGAACCATTTGATCATAAATTAAATCACCTAATTACTAACCATTTTTACTTTTTTTAGCGTTGACACTACTTTGCGTGCTGTTGTGGCGGATTTTGGATGTTTTTTCTTTTACTTTCTATCAATTTTTGACTTATTAAACGTTATAGAAAAAATTCTGACGTTAACGGTATGCATTAAACAAAGCCACCAATAAATCTGTTACAAATTTCTGAGAAGTCAAAATTAAATTGTAAAAAATCATTGTTAGTTAGAAAGTTAGTCGCACAGCGCAATGGAAGCCTACAAATAGAAAGAAAATATTGGATTAAACGCAGGGAAATTTGTATTTATTTTCAAATGAGACAACGGGGAAAAATTATTTTACTTTAAAACAATTCGTGGAAGCATTTATAATATATCAGCCTAAAAAAGGTTTAAGTTGACAAAATTATTTGTTTAAAATTGAATACTTTGAGGATGAGGAAGGTAATTGCTAGGACAAATTTGAGCGAAATTCTCAAATAACTTGCAAAAAAAGAGAAATTTCATAACCTAAAAATTTCGATCATAAACAAAACATGGTAAAGAATATTAGTTCATTTGCATCAAAAAATTATAGGGAGCAATTGTATTTACTTGAAGCTTGCACCAATAATGGTTTATTATAGTTAAATAAAATTTAAGACTGAAATACATTTATAATATTTGACTGTAACCAAACAAAAATTGTTCGAATATTTTTCTCTAAAATCATGATTTTTCTATATTTCGAATTACAAATTTTCAACATATGCCAATTTTTCGCTTCAAATCTTCTATTTAAAGTGTGTCGGCATCACCAGCTTCCCAAAATATTATCGCCGAAAACTTGTGGATTTAAAAGCAGTAAANAGATGTGTATAAGAGATTGCAGTATATCACTTGTAGGGTAAAAATATATCACTCGTAGCGTAAAAAAAAGCAAATTTAGAGCAGGCTTTCCTGGCAATGACATTACGTCACGGCTAATAGCCTGGCGCTCCTGACGTCAATTGGATGAAGCCAACGCAATCATTGGGGTATTAAGTGCCGCAGATTACCCGGAATAACTTGCCTGCAATTAGTCATATTTTGGGTTGCACTTTCCAGGTCGAGCGTTGAACATGAAGAACTTTAAGGCATTTGACAGGGTATTAAATTGATGCTCAAATGAACTGATTCTTCTGTAAAAAGATCTTATTCAAATCAAGTGAAGGCTGAAGATTTTGATATATATTTTAGTTTGAAGTAGTTCAGCCATGGTTTTGAAATATTCGCACACGCAAATACATGATATACAAATTAAATAGAGGTTTTTCAATCTGCTGTAAATTTTAACTTCTGAGAAGTATAAAAAAAGCTTCTAAATTGTTAAATTAAATCAAATTTAAAATATAATTTTCATCAGTCAACTGGTCAGCTTTCGATGTTCAGATTCCACATGACCATATTCCAAATGTTAAGATCCAAATGTTCAGATTCCAAATGTTCAAATTCGAAAAGCCCAGATTCCATATGTTCAGATTCCAAATGTACAGTTTCAAAATATTCAGATTCTAAATGTTCCGATTCCAATTGTTCCGATTCCAGCTGTTCAGATTCTGAATGTCCAGATTCCGAATGTCCAGATTCCAAATGTTTATATTCCAAATGTTCAGATTTAAAATGTTTAGATTCCAAATGTTCAGATTAAAAAAGTCCAGATTCCAAATGTTCAGATTCCCAAT